CCTGCTTCGAACAAATGCTAACTGCTGCGTCGTTCCGGTCTGTAGCGGCGCCAGTATAATCTCTTATTAATATTAGTCGTCTTAACCTCGCGATAACAACGTCACGGATGTTCGAGTTTCATGTTAGTTTTAATCTGACCCCTTTTTCCTTCCGAGAGTCGTTGGCTGCTGCCGCGTTTGGTCTACCCCAGTTGTGCGTCCTTGTTCATGCTTCAATGCTGTATCCAATGGTCGTAGTATTTAGCGACAACGGAAGCTCTATGGCGAAAACGCATCTGTGCCACTGTAATTCGTCTAGCGCGGCCATGAGTGACGAAGCGAGCTGCTACGAAAATGCCAAAGATGACGTGGGTGCAGATATGTTATGGAATAGATTAGCCCTTCGGCGACAACTACGCCGTCCTTAAGGCATCCTCTCCTCTGAAGCGAAAAATGGGCGAGGGCAAATTGTCGCATCTGCTACCATAGGAGAGGACCTTCTGTGCATCTCTACATTTCAAGGACAAATGAGCCGATGATGACGCTGGCGATGGTGAAAATTGTGATTATCTTTCTGCTGAAACCACTCAGTATCAGTGCCCCGCTGGTTGCCCTTGTTGATACATTACTGGCTATTCGACTTCTAGGGCGGACAGATGGACACTTCGCTACTAGTGCGTCCGAAACAACTGAGAGTAACACGAGCTAGCAATAAAAGCAGGACCAGCTTGCTTGCTTGCTAGCTGTCACATTGTGAGAGGATTCAAAGGATTCATTTGCTATTGACGTTTGCTTCATGAAGTTTTCCTTTAGGAAGACAACTACAATTAATAGGATACAGATATATTCGAATATTCTGGTCTCGCGTTGTTTCGTGGTGGACAGAAACATGTTTTTTCCGTTCTTTCATCCCTGCTTTGCCGCGGAATTCGCATCGCTTTCTCCCTAGACAGCCTGGTGTAGCCTTATCTATAGTTTTGAAATCAGTATTATCATTATCTAGAAGCAGTGATACTAAAACGTCTCGCATAACAAGTAGTACTCGTCGTAAAGTAAAATTGGTAAGCATTAAAAAATTGCTTTCGTCCAGAGCACTAACGAGGTAGTTGTGTAACGAAGCACTTTCTTTTTGCGGAGTAGCTTGGTCGTTCACTTCTCGCCTCCTTCATTCGTGCACTGTCATTCCGCTAATGTTCGTTAAGTTAATGACGAAGTTCCTGGCCACGCTACGCTTCACTCTATTCTTAGCCGATAGCCCACACTGGTTTTAGTGCACAGAAACTTCACAATAACGCTCTGATAGGAACGCGTTGGTTACCATTTACGCATCCTCGTTTTTTGCTTGGAGGCCTCGTATCTTTCAGGAGCAGCTTCATCGTACTGTAATGCTTAAGTATTAAATTGCCTAGTTTCTTGAATTGAAAGCATTGGTGATTATTTAAGTCATTGGCTAATTGCACGGTGGTATGATGCTGTGATTATTACCGTGTTAGTCCGTATAGACGTTGACTTGACCACGTGTCTTTCGATTTGTTTTTTAATAGAAACACCGCGGAACACTGCAGTTATCGAAGAGGTGGATCAACATATTACAAATTGTACATACGTAGTTGATCAGGCCTTGCGGTTAATTTCTTATGAAATGATGACTTATTTGGAAAAACTACTGTAATATCAATAGGAACACGTCTACAAGGCTCTCAGAAATATTGAGGTATGTAAATTATTCATTTATGAGACGTTTACACACCACTTCATTTGCGAATTTAATTGTGCCCAGGTACGTCTGCAAATAGCAGACACAACATTATTGATGCTGAAGTTAGAACCTCATTGATTTTATCGTAAGGCAAGGGAGGAAGTGCCCGCTAGAAGGGTAAAGTTCGACAGCCGGTTGACAAAAGCGTTGAATTAGGCGGCAAGCCCGGGTACTAAGGGTTAAATAAGATCATCTCATACGGGGCAGGTCAATCATTATTTGACCAGCTACTTTTGCTATTATTACGAAAGCCACAACTGTCAGTAACCGAAATGAAATGTGCCTGAGTGAGTTTTGTTGCTTTCGCTGGATCGGCGCTAGCTTGTCTAGCTACCTCGTACGGCGCACCTTTTCCCATACACGTTCCGCCTATTCTTATTAGTCAGCCAGTACTTTTGGCTGAAACGAGGCGACTACTACGACAAACGCGATGTTCGGATGGACTTGTCGGCTCGTTGAAGAAAAGTCAAGCGAAACAAAATTGCGTTACGCTAGTGAGGTCTCTTTTCTCGACGGGGGATCCGACGCTGGAACCACCAGACATCGAAGGGGCCCGGGGGCCAAAAGTTGACGAAGCGACCAAAGGATGGTGATACGTTGGAAGCAGCCGGACAGAACTTCATCGTGTATCTAAAGTGAAAAGCCCAGGAAGACGGGACGCTATGCGGAGCCAGCACCCAGCTTTTAAGGTCTATATCCCATAATGGTAGTGCGATAGGCAAAGTCAGTGCGAGTGGACGGACCGCGACTGCGAACACTATCTTTGGCTGGTCGAAATGCGAATGGCCGTTCTGCCCCACACGATAAGGACCGACGCTAAAAAAAGACGATGCTATCGAGATGGGGCTTAGGAGTGATGTAGAACACCGGTTACAAGTGAACGTACCCGGCTAGTAAACATACCGACTGCCTGAAACGAAAAATCCTTGTTTGGATCGGTATGATGGCTGATTTACATGATCTGTTTTGCCTAACCTGGATATAGAGGCGCACTAGAAAAGATTAGTGCGGTTATTTACTTTTGCAGAAGTAGGTAATTATAAGATTATATTTAGTATGAGGAATTTGGTTATTTCATCATTCAACATAACGAATCTACCTTACCGAATAATTTGGCGATCAAAACATGATTTCGAAAGGAAATGCAGTGTGCCGCTGGAGATATCGTATCAGATATCCTCACGTAGCAAGTTACGTAGTCGCGAGAGTAGCGGCCCGGTTACTGTTCCTCACAAAGACGACGTACGTGCGTTTGGTACTTTCTCTTTACTTAAACGAATTCATTGAATTGAAGTATATTGGAAGCATTGTGGCGGTATGATCGTGTGATTATTTATTATTATGTCCGTATAGACGTCGACTTGACCACATGTCTTTCCAGTATATTTGTTTTTAACAGATATACCACAGAACAGTGCTACGATCGGGGCCGGTCTAGGTAAGAACGCTATCACAATCAACGTCATCTATTATAATGTACTGCTGTCATCGGTGTACCACAGGTGCCATTGCTATTATTATAATCGCACTCATTATTAACAGCAGTATCGTCCGACCATTACCTTGGTCTCCCATATCTCTAGCCTTTGATGATGGTCTTTTGTTGTTGTTGTTGGCTATCGCTATCGATAGGAAACAAGACCAGCCCCTAGGTTAGTCGAGACGTAACGGTTCCAGCTCCAACGCTTCCCTCATAACACCTACATAACCTCATAATACGTTGCGAATAGGTTGATGGAAATATAGAACGGTGAGTCACCTAAGATAGATTACAGACGCAAAACTTTTTTCCATATGCAAATAGATGGGAAACATAGAAATATTGATGTGCGCTTATATTCTACTGTACTAGAATTCCATCGTTTCTCTATCGCTAGGGGGTCCGCATACCACTTCAGTGCCAAAGCTAATATAGCGATTGCCACCAAAACAATCGAAACATAGGTACGATACATATCAGCAGCGTTATGATTATATAGTAGATTTAGAAAATCGACCTGTGTCTCGATAGTATTTAGGTGCAATACGGGGCACTCTTCGTGCGCCGTTGTACTTCACTTGAATTTCTAGGACATCAGAGTATATAAAGGTAGCTGAATACTATTAAATATGGTCCCTGTTCATCGGCGTTTTTAGATGAATGACACGTAATGAGAGCGCCTCTGTGATGTGTGAAGCGCACTTTCGAGTGGGTAACTGGCCGATTTGACGATCATTACGCTACTTTCGGAATTTGATAAACGGAAGCCTAAAGGCAATAATTCTAATTGCAAAAAAATGCTCATAAAAACGTCGAAGACAAGACAACGCGGCATTTCGACGATGTAGGCTTTTGGAAATCTGCCAAACTCTCAAAGAAGTGCTAGATCAGCGAAAGTCATGTAGCTATATATAAAGACGCATCTGTACACAGACCGTAGGAACGTGCTGGACAATATCATTAATTTCGACCATTTTTATTCAATAGTCTACACTTAATATGGTTGTAACTTCAGTAGCTTGTAACTATTATTATAATAGCTTTTTCTTATTTCTAGTAATCTCATCTTGGTAGTGGCGTTTGTACGCCACGGATTGAACGGATAAGCGAACGTGTTTGTTCAAAAACCTTTGACGTATATGGCATTTTTTTCAGGTATACATACACATTTAAACAAATGGCAGGTAAAAGACTATCACTGCACTGGAGATATTTTGGTCATATCAATGAAAGTGATCCCCTTTCGACAATATACCAGAGTGTCGTTCTTGGCAAGCCATATGGCATGTCTAACCACAACGTTCCAAAACAACGCAGTTATCTAGCTTTTTCTATCGTGCATCTCTATGCAAGGTTGGAAGCAAACTTCTTAAGCGACACGGCTGAACTCGTATGGCCGTTGCTGTCGTCTGCTATGACGAATTCGGTGCTTTATTAATCTTACATGATGCGTACTGTATTTCCCCTTTCGTCTTGACATCTGAAGCACGGCAATGTTATTTGCCAGATAATAGGTATAAGCGCGAATTAGTGCTCAGCTGAATGATGTCGGTCGTCAATTACGCTGATGTTGTCACAATCTGCCAGCAGTCGTGACAGCAGCGGTCCGATTGCCTATTGCTAACGCGTATGTTTCGAATGCTGCCATCACTGTTACGGCATTCGAAAATCGGCGATGGCGGGACCGCCGAAAGCCTCGCTTGTTGGCCTATGACAGCCGCCAATAGCAGACAGCGTAGAATATCTGTGCACATGAGGGACGCGTGCACGGAGAATAGGTAACGGTGATGGTGATGCCTCTTGCTGTTTCTGGTAATCGAAACTTAACTATTACTACCATAACTGCTAGTACTAGTACCACTGCCAACATTGGCGCTGAGGACGAAAATACTGTTGAATGCGACTCCCGACCAGGTACCGTTGGGTTTACACTGGTACTTGTAATTGTTGTTGTTTGGATCGCCAGCAGGCGAACAGACTGTTTATTCCGCTTAGAATAGCCAAGTAGTGACCATTTGTAGCGAGTCCTTAGAGCCTTTGCCGCCACGAAGTTCTGCCCTGGCATAAAGCCCATAATCTCTCCGAGTCCGCGTTTCTTATGGTTATGGCTACCTTGTTGTCACTGACGAAGTAATAAGGGTGCCAGCAACAGCGGGAACAGTGTACAAAAAGCAAGCACTCTTAGGCGAGCCTAATTTATAGTGGCGGTACAGATTTTACCACTTAGTTTGTCTAAATTAATAAACGGTTTGATAAAAATACTTCTATTTGTGCTTCATCGCTGCTACTATTATTGTCAATACAGATCGAATCCTCACTCCTACTTATGCAGAATTTCATATCTGTCCGACGCTAACCTTAAAGTGCCCTTCTCCTACGTTAGACGGCGAGCAATTAGCAGAATCATACAGGCGTAAACACTAGAAGTAGAAATCGTATTTTATACGTATCTGCGTGTAATTCCACCGTCGTGAGCCGAAGCTTTATAACTTACGTACAGACGATATTCGATGGCCATATATATAGCCAAAAATACTAACAAAACGCAACTAATAAATTAAAACGTTTGCTCCGTGTATTCGTACAGGTGACAATTGGAGCAGATGTAATCATATAAACCATGCAGACACGTGAGACAGGTACGTGTGTTGCTATGGGAACGCACTTCCTTTTTAGGGTTACTAGTAGTTCGGGTTTTTTTTTTTAGAAACAACACATTATGACGGAAGGCTAAAAAAGGCGAAAATCTAATCACTTAAGCTTTTATAATGAAGGTTGGCTATAAGAAAAATGTACCATTCGCGCTCAGTCATTAAATGTGTTTAATGTTTAACTATTTAATAAGTGTGGAAAAAAAAAGAGAAGAAATAATTTATCAATCAGCTGAGGTCCAATGCAGATTATCGAAATTCACGCTGATTAATAACCGCAGCGGAACCGTCGTCGTCGTTTACGCCTAACTATAGAAGGGGGTCACGAAAGTATTTAGGTCAGTCCAGTAAATGAGAATCGATGTATGGAGAATGTAGATCTATATTTATTAGCTCGATGCACCCGTAAAAGCGGAGTGGAAGAACGAGATAAATGACGAAGCGAACTCCGTATTACGTAAATGGGTGCCGGTGCGCCGCGTATTATTGACGCTGCCAATGTGCTTATCGGACGTACACATACTCTACCGCCGTTCCCTAATCGAATCACAACCACAAGCATTTCGCAACAAAATGGAAATGAGGTCTTAGTGCGAGCAATCAAAAATAGAACCCACTGAGGGCAATACCTTCTGTCGGGAATGGTCGTTAACGAAACTCGTCTCAATTATAACTTAATGACGCCTCTATATAATATTGTGAATTATGATGAAGGAAGTATTCGGCTGCTGGATCAAAAGGGGTGTCTCCTTTGAAGAAATCAAGCAACATACAGTTATTTCGACTGCTGTAAAAGCATTGCAAGCCAAAATGACCACGTGCGCGTGCAAACCCGTGCCTTCCGTTAGGTTTTAGGTACCTAATCATGTACATTTACTGCTGTTATTTTTACGTATTGGTATACCCGTTGAAAGGTACGTTTGAACAGACCCAGCTTCTAATTCTGTGCAGATGAGCGAGGCATGAATGGCGATGTTCGCTGTTTTTCGGCCGATGGGCATAGGGTGACCTAACTCCATTGTTGTCCAGCAAGCCATATTAGGCGCCCTTGTCCGATACATGTTGGTTGATGCCTGTAAGATTGAGGCAAGGAGGTATTCATGCATACCTTGCTGGACGACAATACAGCAAGTGAAGGATACTAAAACTTATTGATGATAGAGGTTCCTTATTGATGACAGGAACGAAAGTGGGCGCCTGCTTTATTCTAATAAGCTGCTGCTGCTGTTGTTGTTGTTGTTGTGTGGTACAAAATCACCTACGCATATAGAACTAGCTTCGTTTAGCTTTAAATCGGAATTTCAAGGATTACCGCTCCAATGTGACACCGTATTTCACAATTTTATTAGTAAATGTCGAAATCTGTGGTTGCTAGGGTATATACGCGAGCAGTGAAACTGCTCTAGCTAATGACAAGCGAATCGAATCGGGCTTTATTCTGCCCACGGACAGAGGTACAGATAGTTTCATTAGTATGCCGACGTAAGAAGTACTTCACTGAGTAACTCCATTGAAATGGGGCGGTAAATTCAAGCCAGGCTGAGGTTGAACGCTGACATTAAGGTGAGCGTTTTTTTTAAACAGCGGCACAAGTGATGCTGCAATGAAACACAAGTGCTGACCCATAATGTTTAGCTATACTATATATAGCTAGCTATACTATTTTCTAATCGACTGTAAACTGTTATCGCTTTGTTAGCATCTGCCGGCGGCAACGTTAATGATTTTCCGTTTCATTATGTTTTTTTTTTGGAAATTCGGTGCGTTATAGGGTAACCAGTTACGTTTTGTAGGGCAGCATTCGGTCTTTTTAATAGTTAGGTTTAACAATCCCGGACGCCATTTTCAATTTTCGATCCATATAATCGTTATGAATATTTATAAATGAATGCAAATAACGTTTCTTGATTTTACACAAAGCCTGTACGTATGTAAGTGGTGCATTGCGCGCTTTCTGAATCTAGCGATCGAGCTAAAAGGACAATCTTTAATTAAACAGGTTACCTTTAAACGTAGTTTTTCGATGCCAACGTGATAACGTTTAATATGTAAAAGTACGATTTTTAATAGTGATAAGTTTACTGTTTAGACAACGATCAAATCTCTGTGGATGACGGCTTCTGCTTTGAGTTGTATCGAAAAGCATGGTAACAAGGAAACGAGACTGCTTGTTAGGTCTAGCCTTTTTAAAAACGTAATGTCATCCCGTCATATATTGGTTTCAGATGGAATTCGTCATCAGAAGCTCAGATAAAGTACAGAAAAAAACATGCGTTAAAAAAGTAGCTCACCATATTTCAAAATTTTCTTTTGCCGACGCGAGTTTTCAGGGTGGCAAAGATATTACCAGTGGAACGTACGCCCCTTTTTTCTTTTCCTTCCACAGCAATGCATTGGAACCAGTATTGGAAATTAACTAGATTTACTGTATACATAGGCTTTCCTGCATTTTAGTGCAATCAAACATTACTGAACTAGAAATATAGATGGGTTCTTCGGATACGCAAATATTAAACGTAGCTAATAAAAGGAAAGATAGCTGATAGCTTTTAATTTAGTCATCTTCTAAACAAGTCGACTCATCTTTGGTTATGGTATGAATCGATTATTGGGTTACCGTTGCTGAGTTACGTAGCGCTTGGTTCTATAGGTCGGATATTTTATATTTTTTTAAGAAGGACGATAAACGCAAGGACCGCTCAAAAGGTAGGTAGGCGCACTATGAGAGTACCACTCAACAAAGGGCAACGTTAGTATCGTGAACAATCTGCGAACAAGCGTGTCACCCAACGACAGATTCATAACTGGGTGAAAAAAGTTTAGAGACATTCAAGTATGATTTTACGTTGATTTTCTGATAATGATTTTTGTCTTTTTTTTAATTAGTTTGGCAGTCATCTCGAAAAGATGACAGGTTTCTCGGACAGGTTGCATACACCACTCAATT